GTGAGGCTGCAGGGTGGTGTGAGCACAGAGGGCAGCGAATCCCAGGAGGGGAGCGGCAGATCCCAGATGGGGTCCGGCAGTCTGGTGATAGGGCACACAGCTGGACGGGCTGTTCGCTCACTCAGACAATATCATAAAAGGATTTTCGGAGGGGAGGGCAACGAGAGCCTTTCACCAGCTATGTCCCTGGACCTTTCTAGAGCCGAATGCAGGGGTCATCAAACGTTCACCTCGCTGTCCAAATCCTACCTCCACTGAGCACGCCAATCCGCATCACCCAGAGCGGCCTGAAAAAAAAAACCCGTCTGACAGCAAGAATCGTGCATTACCCCTCACAGGTCACTGTCAGGAAAATAAATATACTGAACCCCAACTGAATGACAGGTTTTTTTTTTTTTTTTCCTCTGTACAGTTTGTATCATAAACAATGACCCATTCTATAACTAAAATCCTTTTTCTTTTTATCCTTTGTTACATCTCAGTGTTGATGATCCCCTGCAGCCTTTTTACAGCTACTTCCTACCTATGTGCATTCCAGAAATGGCTGCATAGCATTTTTCAGGGTGGTGTCAGCAGTGGACCATGGCTGTGTGCTGAAAGGTCATCAGGAGCTCATGTGACAGAGTGACAACACAGGAGCACCATCAGGAAAGTGGTAGAAAGCGTTGTCACCTGTAACAGGAAGTGCTTGAACAAGTGCCTTCATGACAGGGGCTCTAGGGGATTATTTTAATGAAAGCTGCAGGCTTAAAAAGATGACTTTTGAAAAGACACATAATTGGTTTTATATCTATTTTATATTTTGTACAGACTTTAACAAAGATGTACGAAATGATAGGCTGTGTTCTAATGAATATGAAGGGTCTCAGTGATGTCACTGGTCTATAGTGATTGGATAGGCTGTGTTCTCATGAATATGAAGGGTCTCATTGATGTCACTGGTCTCTAGTGATGGATAGGCTGTGTTCTCATGAAATTATGAAGGGTCTCATTGATGTCACTGGTCTCTAGTGAATAGATAGGCTGTGTTCTCATGAATATGAAGGGTCTCGGTGATGTCACTGGTCTGTAGTGATGGACAGGCTGTGTTCTCATGAATATGAAGGGTCTCGGTGATGTCACTGGTCTCTAGTGATGGATAGGCTGTGTTCTCATGAATATGAAGGGTCTCGGAGATGTCACTGATCTCTAGTGATGGATAAGCTGAGTTCTCATGAATATGAAGGGTCTCTACTGGTGGATAGGCTGAGTTCTCATGAATACAAGAAAGAAAAAAAGGGCGCACTCTTCTAATGCGTTTTGGGAGACAAACTCCCTTCGTCAGAGCTTGTTTTAGCTCTGAGGAAGGGAGTTAGTCTCCCGATAGTCATTAGCATACCCAGTTGCAAGACCACCATTTGCTGGGATCGATACATTGGTTCCTTCTTTGTTTACATGACTCTTGGTTTGTGAGTATATATATTTGTCATTTTCAATAAATAGTTTTTTATCATGATAATGCATGAGGAGAGTGCGCCCTTTTTTGCTTTCTTCCAGTATTATCAAAATTCTCCGATCTTTACAGGGCCGCACCTCAGCGAGTGACTGTTACCGTGTTCCTGGATGCTTGTAGACCAGAGTACTGGTTTTGCTTTTTTTCTCTTGATATCTTGAGTTCTCCTGAATATGAAGGGTCTCGGTGATGTCACTGGTCTCTAGTGATGGATAGGCTGTGTTCTCATGAATATGAAGGGTCTCGGTGATGTCACTGGTTTCTAGTGATGGATAGTCTGTATTCTCATGAATATGAAGGGTCTCGGTGATGTCTCTAGTGATGGATAGTCTGTATTCTCATGAATATGAAGGGTCTCGGTGATGTCTGGTCTCTAGTGATGGATAGGCTGAGTTCTCATTAATATGAAGGGTCTCGGTGATGTCACTGGTCTCTAGTGGACAGGCTGAGTTCTCTCGGTGATGTCACTGGTCTCTAGTGATGGATAGGCTGAGTTCTCATGAATATTATTATTATTATTATTATTATTATGAAGGGTCTCGGTGATGTCACTGGTCTCTAGTGATGGATAGGCTGAGTTCTCATGAATATGAAGGGTCTCGGTGATGTCACTGGTCTCTAGTGATGGATAGGCTGTGTTCTCATGATTATGAAGGGTCTCGGTGATGTCACTGGTCTCTAGTGATTTATAGGTTCTCATGATTTTGAAGGGTCTCGGTGATGTCACTGGTCTCTACTGGTGGATAGGCTACATTCTCATGATTGTGAAGGGTCTCGTGATGTTACTGGTCCCTAGTGATTTATAGGTTGTGTTCTCATGATTGTGAAGGGTCTCGGTGATGTCACTGGTCTCTACTGGTGGATAGGCTACATTCTCATGATTGTGAAGGGTCTCGTGATGTTACTGGTCCCTAGTGATTTATAGGTTGTGTTCTCATGATTATGAAGGGTCTCCATGATGACACTGGTCTCTAGTGATCGAATAGGCTGTATGCTCATGAATATGAAGGGTCTCGGTGGTGTCATTTTAAACTTTGTGATATGTTTATAACAGTTCTATTTGGTCTCGAATATTGGAGGTCACATGACTCATTTCTTGATCTCTCTTCATCTCAAACCATGTCAGATCCCCCATCTGTCGGAGAGCCCCAGGCGTGGTGTATGACGGTCATAAGGCTGCATCTTGTGATGTTCTCACATTGGTGGTCATGTAATCTCTGTTCCTTTTTTTAGCATTCTACAGAGCAGCAAACTGTCATATTGGCTTTGATGTCTATAAACTATCTTATTTTCTTTTTAAAGGTAGAATGAACTTGTGTGGAAATGTGGGGCCTTGGGTAACAGCGTATGATGCAGCACTCTGTGGTGTACCATGGTTTGTGCCAGCATTATAGCATTTGGAAGGACAGTTTTACTTTTACTCTGAGGCCTAAAGTGCACTTTCCCAAAATAGTGCTGCACAGCTAAAAACTGACTACATCCTCCCAAAAATAATATTTCAACTAGTAAATAACATCAAAATTACCATTTGAAATGCAAAACAATTACAAAGTGCAAAATACCAAGCATTAAAAATAAATCTGCAATAAATACAGTGGATTTAAAAAGTACACACCCCTGTTAAAATGTCAGGTTTCTGTGATGTTAAAAAAAATGATGAGACAAAGAAAAATAATTTCAGAACTCTTTCCACCTTTTTAATGTGACCTATAAACTGTACAATTCAATTGAAAAACAAGCTGAAATATTTTGGGGCAGGGGAGTAAACATAAAAAACTAAAATAATGTAGTTGCATAAGTGTGCACACCCTCTTATACCTGGGGATGTAGCTGCGTTCAGAAATAAGCAATCTCATTCAAAATCATGTTAAATAGGAGTCAGTACACAGCTGCTATCATTTAAAGTGCCTCTGATTAACCCCAAATAATGTTCAGCTGTTGTAGTAGGACTTTCCTGACATTTTCTTAGTCGCATCCTACAGCAAAAGCCATGGCCCACGGAGAGCTTCCAAAGTGTCAGAGGGTTCTCATTAGTAAAAGTTATCAGTCAGGAGAAGGGTACAAAAGAATTTCCAAATCATTAGATATACCATGGAACACAGTGAGGACAGTCATCAAGTGGAGAAAATATGGCGCAACACTGACATTACCAAAAACTGGACGTCCCTCCAAAACTGAGGAAAAGACGAGAAGAAAACTGGTCTGGGAGGCTCCCAAGAGGCCTACATCAACATTAAGGAGCTTCAGGAATATCTGGCAAGTACTGGCTGTGTGGTACATGTGACAACAATCTCCCGTGTTCTTCATATGTCTGGGCTATGGGGTAGAGTGGCAAGACGGAAGCCTTTTCTTTTGAAGAAAAACATCCAAGCCCAGCTAAATTTTGCAAAAACATATCTGAAGTCTCCTAAAAGCATGCGGGAAAATGTGTTCTAGTCTGAGAAAACCAAGGTTGAACTTTTTGGCCATAATTCCAAAAGATATGTTTGCCGCAAAATCAAAACTGCACATCAACAAAAGAACACCATACCCACCGTGAAGCATGGTGGTGGCAGCATCATGCTTTGGGGCTATTTTTACTTCAGCTGGAACTGGGGCCTTAGTCAAAGTAGAGGGAATTATGAACAGTTCCAGATACCAGTCAGTATTGGCTCAAAACCTTCCGGCTTCTGTTAGAAAGCAGAACATGAAGAGGAATTTCATCTTTCAGCATGACAACGACCCAAAGCATCCATCCAAATCAACAAAGGAATGGCTTCACCAGAAGAAGATGAAAGTTGTGGAATGGCCCAGCCAGAGCCCAGACCTGAATCCGATGGAAAATCTGTGGGGTGATCTGAAGAGGGTTGTGCACAGGAGATGTCCTCACAATCTGACAGATTTGGAGAGTTTTTGCAAGGAAGAGCGGGCAAATATTGCCAAGTCAGATGTGCCGCGCTGATAGACTCCTCCCCAAAAAGACTGAGTGCTGGAATCACATCAAAAGGGGCTTCAACAAAGGATTACCGTATTTTTTGCTTAAAAAAAACCCACACTCCCCCCCCCCCCCCCCCTAAAAATGGGTGGAAATGTCTGTGCCTCTTATGGAGCGGCTGGCCCTGTATTCCCCCCGTTGCCGCCACCGTGTTAGAATACCGGGCTCTTCTGTGCAGCAGCGCCAGGCAGGGGGAGTTCCAGCTGAAATAAAAGGTCAGCAGCTACAAAAACTGTAGCTGCTGATTTTTAAAATACAACCATTCACCTGTCACTCGGTCCTGCGGTGTCCTCACCACGCTAGTTTCACCGGCCGTCTTCTCTCCCTGGCGTCGGCATCTTTAGTGTGGGCACCTGGCTGTGACAGCTTGCGGCTTCACAGCCGAGTGCCTACTGCGCATGTGCGAGAATCGCTGTGTGTCCCAGAAGACTACAGGGAGGGAGGACAACTTCCGCTTCTGATCGCTTAGGCGATGCAGCAGAAGTGGGAGCGGGTACCTGTCAAATTCTGGTACCCGCTCCCCAGAGGTCTTTAGTCTCTGGTCATCTCCTGTACTGTGTCCACAGTCTCTGGTCTCTGTACTATGTCCAGTCTCTGGTCTCCCCTGTAGTGTCCACAGTCTCTGGTCATCCCCTGTACTATGTCCACAGTCTCTGGTCATCTCCTGTCCGCAGTCTCTGGTCTGTCCACAGTCTCCTGGTCATCCCTGTACTGTGTCCACAGTCTCTCCCCTGTACTGGTCCACAGTCATCTCCTGTACTATGTCCACAGTCTCTGGTCATCCCCTGTACTATGTCCACAGTCCCCTCTGGTCATCTCCTGTATGTCCACAGTCTCTGGTCATCTCCTGTACTATGTCCGCAGTCTATGTCCACAGTCTCTGGTCATCTCCTGTACTATGTCCACAGTCTCTGGTCATCTCCCTGTACTATGTCCACAGTCTCTGGTCATCTCCTGTACTATGTCCACAGTCTCTGGTCATCTCCTGTACTATGTCCACAGTCTCTGGTCATCTCCTGTACTATGTCCACAGTCTCTGGTCATCTCCTGGTCCATCTCCTGTACTATGTCCTCAGTCTCTGTCAACTGTACTATCATCTCCTGTACTATGTCCACTCTCTGGTCATCTCCTGTACTATGTCCACAGTCTCTGTACTATGTCCACAGTCTCTGGTCATCTCCTGTCTCTGTCCACAGTCTCTCCATGTACTATGTCCACAGTCTCTGGTCCATCTCTGGTCATCTCCTGTACTATGTAGTCTCTGGTCTGTACTATGTCCACAGTCTCTGGTCATCTCCTGTACTGTGTCCACAGTCTCTGGTCATCTCCTGTACTATGTCCACGCAGTCTCTGGTCATCCCCCGTAGTGTGTCCGCAGTCTCTGGTCATCCCCCGTAGTGTGTCCGCAGTCTCTGGTCATCCCCCGTAGTGTGTCCGCAGTCTCTGGTCATCCCCCCGTAGTGTGTCCGCAGTCTCTGGTCATCCCCCCGTAGTGTGTCCCCCGCAGTCTCTGGTCATCCCCCGTAGTGTGTCCGCAGTCTCTGGCCATCCCCCCCCGTAGTGTGTCCGTCCGCAGTCTCTGGCCATCCCCCGTAGTGTGTCCCTCTGGCCATCCCCCGTAGTGTGTCCGCAGTCTCTGGCCATCCCCCGTAGTGTGTCCGCAGTCTCTGGTCATCCCCCGTAGTGTGTCCGCAGTCTCTGGCCATCCCCCGTAGTGTGTCCGCAGTCTCTGGCCATCCCCCGTAGTGTGTCCGCAGTCCCCTGGTCATCTCCCCGTAGTGTGTCCGCAGTCTCTGGTCAGTGTGTCCCAGTCTCTGGCCATAGTGTGTCCGCAGTCTCTGGTCATCCCCCGTAGTGTGTCCGCAGTCTCTGGTCATCTCCTGTACTACACCCTTTTCCAAATGATTCTGCAAATGATATTTTTCCTCATTTCCCTCAATAATTGATGTAAATAACAGTCGGCAGAATTCTCAGGTTACAACTATAAGAGTACAATTCACATTTTATTGAACAAACCTCCTAATAACAGGATTTTTGTTCCAAATTATTCCGCACAGGAAGTTTCAAAACACTTTCTAGGTTGTAAAGAACTGAAAATTGTCATTTGTTGTGTTTGCAGCAGATTTACTGAAATCAAAAGCTATTTCAATCAAACTTTTAACAACATTTTAACTTTGTAAACATTTGAAGCGGTCACATTACATTGTAACATAGGAGCCCTTATTTGATAGCAGATCACAAGTCTCGCATCCGTTGAACTTGTGAGTTTTTGGACAGTTTCTGCTTGAATTTGTTTGCAAAATGTCAGAATAGCCTCCCAGAGCTGCTGTTTGGATGTAAACTGCCTCCCACCCTCATAGATCTTTTGCTTGAGCATGCTCCAAAGGTTCTCAATAGGATTGAGGTCAGGGGAAGATGGAGGCCACACCATGACTTTCTCTCCTTTTATCCCCATAGCAGCCATTGATACAGAGGTATTCTTTGCAGCATGAGATGGTGCATTGTCATGCATGAAGATGATTTTATTACGGAAAGAATAGTTCTTCCTTCTGTACCAGGGAAGAAAGTGGTCAGTCATAAACTCCACATACTTTGCAGAGGTCATCTTTACACCTTCGGGGACCCTAAAGAGGCCGACCCGCTCTGTTTCCATGATTCCGGCCCAAAACATGACTCCACCACCGCCTTGCTGACGTCGCAGCCTTGTAGGAACAGGGTGGCCGTCCACCAACCATCCACTACTCCATCCATCTGGACCATCCAGGGTTGCACGGCACTCATCAGTGAACAGGACTGTTTGAAAATTAGTCTTCATGTATTTTTCTGCCCAATGCAGCCATTTCTGCTTGTGAGCATTGGTTAGTGGGGGGCGAATAGAAGGTTTATGCACAGTTGTAAGACTCTGGAGGACTCTACACCTTGATGTCCGTGGGACTCCAGAGGCACCAGCAGCTTCAAATATCTGTTTGCTGCTATGTAATGGTATTTTAGCAGCTGCTCTCTTGATCCGATGCATGGATCTGGCAGAAATCTTCCTCAATGTGCCTTTATCTGCACCAACCAGTCTGTGCTCTGAATCAGCCACAAATCTCTTCATAGTGCGATGATCACGCTTACGTTTTTGTGAAATATCGAATGTTTTCATACCTCGTCCAAGGCATTGAACTATTTCACTCTTTTCGGCAGCAGAGAGATCCTTTTTCTTCCCCATATTGCTTGAAAATGGTGTTCTGCTTAATAATGTGGAACACCCTCCTTTAGTAGTTTTTCCTTAAATTGGGCTCACCGGCCAATCTAATTATCACAGGTGTCCGAGATTGTTTTCAGTGATCAAAAGAGCCCTGACACACAATGCCATCCATGAGTTACACTGAAAAACAAAACATTTAATCTTTGTGACACTTAAATAGAATTTGCATAATAATTTGGAACATGGTGTGTATGTGTGTATGTGTGTGTGTGTATATATATATATATATATATATATATATATATGTGTGTGTGTATATATATATATATATATATTTCTGCACAGCGCGGACACCTTCTAGCAGTAAAGCTGCTATAAGGGCAGTCAGCAACTGGTTAAAGCAGCATTCAGCAAACCTTTATTACATTTCAGCTTACCAATCATTAGATGTGATGGATACATTATTTTTCTTTTTAAGCCTTCCTTTCTTCTATTTTCACAAGGTGATCCTGCCAGTAAGTGTTTTTTATTTATATATATTATTATATATATATATATATATATATATATATATATATATATTTATATATATATATATATATATATAATATAAATAAACAACAAGCTCTCTCCAGATGTGTCAGTTTATAGGGATGAGACAAATCATTTACCACTGACAGGTGTGCTTACAATGATCAGCTTTTATTTATGTAAAACCTTTATCCCAAAAGAAAAAAAGATCTATTTGCTGTAACTGCTTATAAAGTATTAGCTGGAGTTTGGCTTCAGTTAGTGTATCTAAATCTGCTGTTATATCTAACACTCCCCATCCCCCCAGACTGACAATGCTGCTGTCCAGCGGTGCCTCCTGTGCTCCTTCATCCAGAGTGTGGGTGCTCTAATACAGGAGGTGTGTTACTGCCCAGATCTCCAGAGGGAAATAAAGCCTAAAAAGAAAACTAATGCAGCCACCACATCTAATATTTTTTGGTTTACGGTTATTGCCATTTTAACCCTACAGAGTTAACAAAATACACTACTTTTCACCCTTGATTGTCTGCATGTGAATGAATGTTCAGCACAGGTCCTCTTTAGAGGTTCAGGTGTTTCTTTTTCCGCTCACTGCTATCTTGTGTTATTTCTTGGCAGTTGATTTTATATATTTGTCTTTGAAATTTGATTTTAAAGTCGGGTTTGGAAGTATTTTTTTTCTTTGCCCCTTTATAATAGGATATAAAAATTTACTGAAGGATTCATTTTAGTTTTCTGGGGTGTCCTCGGGGGTGCTTTATGACTTCTTGTATCTCTAGAAGTCTGTTTTTAATTTAATTTTTTTTTTTTTCTGTCCTAGGTCTCTGTGTACTAGGCGGGAGCTGCCCCCTAGTGTACAGAGGAGGGACTGTCCTGGGGATATGGTGCTGCCAACTACCCCTACTCTACAGATATAACTATTCTCCGGGGGGGGGGGGAAGGTGCGTTTTCTGTAAAATATATTATTTTAAATATATTCCAGGTGTTTCTGCACAGCCAAGTGGTCGCAGATGTTGCAGAGACTGGTTGCTTCGAATTTCCAGCTTTTATTATTTTGGTCAATATTTTAATTTACATTTTTTTTTTTTCTCTGAAGAAATTTATAGAATTTGAAGATGTACAAGAGCAGGATAAGAAAGAACTTCAGACACGTGTGGAAAATCTGGAATCCCAAATCCGGCAACTGGAGCTGAAAGCCAAGAACGCCACTGATCAGAGTAAGTCTGAGGCGATGTGCTGTTGCCGATACTCAGTGACACTTTTAATTATTGGTCAAAGCCTATTGTAGTAGCTTTGGTTTGTGAGATGGTTAGCTCTGTCAGTGAATTCATTAATGTAGTAGATGTTGCACTGTGCAGAGAGGTTACTGCTTACCCCGTCTTTCTACTGTTTCTCTATATCAGGAGTCTTCAAACTTTCTAAACAAACGGCCAGTGAACTGTCCTTCAGGCTTTAGGAGGGCTGGACTGTGGCCAGTAGGAGTAGAAAATTCCCCATCATCAGTGGAAGTAAAGGACTCCCCATTACTGGTTTTAGTGGGATGACAGTGAACCATCACTGGTGTCAGTGCAAGGAATAGTGCCTCATCATAGGTGTCATTGGAAGGAATAGTGTTCCCATCACTGGTGCCGGTGGAGGGGATCGTGCCCCATCACTGGTGCCGGTGGAGGGGATCGTGCCCCATCACTGGTGCCGGTGGAGGGGATCGTGCCCCATCACTGGTGCCGGTGGAGGGGATCGTGCCCCATCACTGGTGCCGGTGGAAGAAATTAATGCCACACTGTTTCAGTCTGGCATCAGTGGAAGTAAAGGACTCCCCATTACTGGTTTTAGTGGGATGACAGTGAACCATCACTGGTGTCAGTGCAAGGAATAGTGCCTCATCATAGGTGTCATTGGAAGGAATAGTGTTCCCATCATTGGTGTCAGTGGGAGGAATAGTGCCCCATCACTGGTGCTAGTGGAGGGGATCGTGCCCCATCACTGGTGCCGGTGGAGGGGATCGTGCCCCATCACTGGTGCCGGTGGAGGGGATCGTGCCCCATCACTGGGCCGTGGAGGGGATCGTGCCCCATCACTGGTGTCGGTGGAGGGGATCGTGCCCCATCACTGGTGCCGGTGGAGGGGATCGTGCCCCATCACTGGTGCCGGTGGAGGGGATCGTGCCCCATCACTGGTGCCGGTGGAGGGGATCGTGCCCCATCACTGGTGCCGGTGGAGGGGATCGTGCCCCATCACTGGTGCCGGTGGAGGGGATCGTGCCCCATCACTGGTGCCGGTGGAGGGGATCGTGCCCCATCACTGGTGCCGGTGGAG